AGAGTGTATACGGCATTTTTCAAAAGTTTAAGAACATATTGTGAAGTCTCTAAAATGTTTTTAATTCACATTCTTACATATTACTAAAAAAACGTCAGTTATTTGAATTAAAATCTTAATATTCACTGATCGGTCGACTATTCGATATAAATTACTATTAATAACAACGATTATATGAACAAGCTAATTATTGCGTTTCCCATACAATATTATATGGTAGCTGCATATTATTATCTTTAAATTAAAACACCCACAGTGACCCGCCCAAATAATATTAGTATGTGCGTAATACAATTGTATTGGTACGTATTATAGTAATTAATAGCATTATTATTGTCATTACCCACGCGCACTAAACCAGTCCAATTTAAAAAATAAAAAATATTAATTCATCTGATTATTATTTTTTATTTTTTTATTATTTTTACTTCATCGGAGACTATTATCAAATGCATTATAACGCTGTACATTGAACAATTTCCTCGTAAAACCACCCGAGTTATCATGCTACTATAAGCTATTCTTAACTTTAAAAAGTAAATAGGATGAAAAAACAGTGATCTATACGTCCTATACTCCTATCAAATGTATTAAAGAAATATGATTTTCATTCTAAAATATATAGAAAAAAGATCGTTTCTAAGTTTTTCAAAATCTGTCCTATATTTTAGTAAAATATTGTTTTTTAAATTATTTACGTAAAATCTGTTAAATAATTTGTGTTTTTAAATATATTTATAATGTGATTATTCTCAAGTTCAATTCTCGAGTAAATTATAGCTAACTGAACTTTAGCCTATCAGCATTATCATAAAGACACTATATAAGAAATCGTCTGATAAGTCTCCCAAAATTGCTTTTAGTTATTATATTTGGTTAACTGTCATAATATATATTAATTCAATATAATAAATGTCATTATGACTATTAAAAATAAATACGTTTCTTTTTTTTTTTTTTTTGATTTTGTTTTTTGTTTATTTTTATTTTCCACTGATATACAACAAAAAGAGATCAACTCGGATGTTAATAACTTTTAATTTTCCCGGAATCAATTCATCGGTCTCAATTTAAGTCTATTTAGGTTAACAGAAATCTGGGATTCCACTCGTACGCAGTTAACTTTGTATTCGATAAGATTTAATAAAAAAAATATGTACCAATCATTTAATAAAATGATTTATAAATAATTAAATACAATTATGCAGCGAATATGTTCCGTCTTGGTTTCAAAACGGTTTCTCAATATATTTAGTATATTTTTTTTATAAAAATAACGGAATTCAGTATCTTAACGATCCTTATCGAATTATGGTCAGTTCATATACTCGTATAAATATTATTATTAATTTGTATCCGAAAATCAACTCTCCTCAAGTCTTTGATAATTGTAATAATTGTATACCTAATCAAACAATCCATTTATTGTGTATTTGTACTAAAATAATAAAGCGGTGTCAGCTGTATCTATTATATAATTAGTTATTAAGCTACTGAGCTATAAACAGAACTGACAAATAGACATAATTAATGTGTAATATTAATTATTATAACTAAGTTTGACTGTGGTAAAACGCTTGGTCGATTGTTAAATTGCACGAAGAAAAACAATCTAATTGATATTTCAATTAGAACAAAAGTGATTACATAATATATCTATTATCTACAGTTTATTAATTACATTTGCATACTGCCGTTTCTGTTACACCTGTACAATTTATTAACGCACGCAGAACATACTATATAATAATAATAAGAATATGTGTACTTGTGTATTACTCTACTCAACGTTTTTATATATATAAATTCCTGTCAGACGCGGTTGACGGTTAATTGTTTTTAATTTCCCTACGTCAGGTTTTCGTTTTCGAGTATAAATTTTTTTTTAATCGCGCCGATCACCACACCTCGATGCCACAGCCAATGATATACACAATACCTCATCAACAACCGACAAATTCGCTTGCTCCGTGAGAAATTCTGAGGTTACACTCGGCACTTGGTATTAATTTATTACTTATATTTTATAACTGCAGTGTGTAAAACTTTTGTCGTACGAGGTAAACGTAATTTATACTCATTAAAAAAAATTTTCCTTATAGGAAAATAATAAAAAAAAAAAAAACATGAACATGAACATTTTAGCGTGCATGTTTCCATTTAAGGTCATTCACCGAGCATGCTCACTATAATTTTGTCTTTAATTTATTTGAATTGTGATCATGGAAATTTTCCAAGTATCAATATTATTTTTAATTTTATATAGGTACCATTTAAAGTGCAGTTTGTACCTATGTGACGACAACGACTTCTTTATTTCAAATAATAGAAATAATTTTTTTTTTGTAAATTTGAAAGTAACTTTTTTTTTAATCATTTTAACTGATATAATTCTAAATTCAAACGATTATTTGAGAACTTTGAGATATTTAACTTACTTTGCTATATATGATAGATATGGTTTTAGGTTTGGATGATTATGGGGCTTATCTTTATTAATCTATCTAAATCATACGATTTTTAAAACTTTTCCTGGTAAAAAAATATTAGATTCATCCAATATATCATATTTACCTACTTAATAGTTTTCTAAAACCATTTTTAAGGACTTTTATTCATAGTATAGACATTTTAATACTTAGGAACAACTACTTTGAAATTGTATTTAAATAAAAAAAAAAATTAAAATATGATTACGTTAAGTATATAATAAAAAATTAAAAAATTAAATTTATTGATAACGAACAGAGTTGAGTTGTGCATGCTTAGTGAATACTTCACATAATACTCAATTTTCGAAACGGCAAAAACATCTTTAATGACGTACTCGAGTCATAAATATTATTAGCATTATACTGACAATTAATTCGAACAATAATAATTTATTTATAATTTATGTCATTTCACATTTTCCTTCATTCTTCGACGTAGTTTCCGTTCACAATCTGACCGACTAGTATTCCTTCACATGTTTTAACGTGCTCCAAACCCTCGACGATTGTATAATACAACATTTTATTATTGCATACAATTGAGTGTACTTTAAACATTTGTTTTTGTTTGTTTTTTTTTTTTTTATCAAAGAAAGTCGTTATATTTTATAATTATATTGTACAATGTCAACTTAATGAGAAGCGGTTTTTAATAGCTCCGAGAATCGCGTAAATATACAATATAAAGGTACCTGTCAAAAAAAAAAAAAAAATGCACATAAGACGAGATTTGACGTTTTATAATTATTATATTATTATGTACTGTATATGGTGAAGGGTTTCGATAATGAACGAAATACTGAAGTCTTTAGTTAAATAACTCAACGTTTCTTATTCATCTCAATATTGTTGCGGATAAATATAAATATTATATACGATCTTATGCCCCGTCGTCTTTTAAAAAGATACATTATGTATTATAATAACGTAGTTGTTCATATTTTTTTTAAACGTTGTATAATTTGAATATAATTGTGAGAATGTTTAAAAATGAAGTCGATATTTAGGTATGTCTATACAAACAAATGTATTGTAATGTATACCGAGCGATTATTTTATCAGAAACATTTATCATTTCAAAAACTACTAACTTTAAAAAAATTATTATTTTTAGGTAATTTTATGGTGTAGCCAATACAAAATGTTTGTGTCATTAAAATTAACTAATTGTTTACTTCTTTTTAGTAATAATATATGTAGGTATGTACCTTTATTTTAATTCTTTATTGCTATGAAGAATATTTTTCAGAGTTCTTTAGTATTATATAAAAATGTGTATATTTTCTTTTGAAATATTAAATATTATGCATGATATCATTCAATAAAATAAAAACTCGAGAAATCACTAGCGATAAAAATTGTACATGATTTTACTTTATATTAAAAAATATATTTTTTAATATAAAAGGGCGTATAATTACGGCGTATACGACAAACCGAATGAACATGTCTAGAACAAGTCCGCACCTTTCAGTATTTTATTATTATTTAATTAATGACGAGACACGGATTCACTGGATTTCGCTGCAAACTAAGTAATTATTTTAATATACAAATACGATTTAGCGGTGGACTCGCGTGTACCGATGACCTTAGCGCGTGTACGGTTGGATACTCGAGGTACATACAAGTACATCTGGTGTACAGGTATATTAAGTAAGTATAAATCTAAATATTACGAGTGTCGGAATAATGTATAGAAACTAGTTCCGTTAATGATAGATTTAGAACGCGCTCGTACAGCTGCCGCGTAAACGCGTGTAATATCAATCGGAACGAACGCAGTCGATAATGCGTTTTCGACGTATCAATAATAATAACTCGAGTAATAATAATAATGCAATAGACGCCGTTTTTTTTTTTTTTTTTACTAGACTCCGAGTATAATGTTAATATTATAAAAATAACTAACTGCGCACTGACCTCGAAGCTATAGAACTTTGACTGAAATAGCAACCCGCAATGCACCGACCGTACATAATATTATTTTACACAATTTTGTCTCACCGTGCGATTGTGTTTTTCCATTCGACCGAAACATTTTAATAATATTATTAAACTAAACGCATTCGTTTAACGGGTAAACGTAAGAAAATAATCGTGCGGTACCTATAGTCGAAACGAGATTGTCGTAAACGAATACTGTACGATATAACATTATATTATATTCTAACATTTCTAACGAACAGCGATTATACTATTAGGTATTTTACGTCGAGAACGACAAAATAATATAACACCCGACGTATTTAAACGTATTTAATTGTGTTAAATCAGTGTCGATGAATTGGATGATGAAACGTGCGCCTGCAGCGAATATATAAACGTGATTTACTATGAAATCGATAACTGACTGTGTAATGGCGTTGATCGACACGAACGATTATCGCTATTATATTGGCTGTGGCGCAGTAACGGATAATGGATGAATGGTCGTATAATATCGTGCGAACATTATGCTCTTATTATATTATTTTATGTTTATATTAATGAAAGATATAAACTTACGTCGCCGAAGAACGTCGCGATCCGAAAGTCCGTCTCAACCGCGGCGTTCAAATTTGTGGCGGCGTGCTTCAGGACAACTCTGGCACCATTCTGCAACGATTACACACACATAATAAATAGTAAGTCCCGTGTGAAGTTACGGGTATGAACTATGAGATATTAGTTGTGGTTTTGATTCACTTGCGCGGTCGCGCGCAAAAATTAAATACACAAACAAAATATAATAGCTCGAACTCAAAACAATTAATATACAACGCAATGCAAACATAGCGTCGTCAATACGCTGCTGCGGTGTTGTATGTACCTATTCGAGAAACGCAAACACAACTGGTCTTGTCGTCGACTGCGACTTGTCCGCGCGTTTACGAGTATACTCGTTTTTCTCGCAGTGTGTGGTGGGTAGCGCGCGTCGAAATCTCTCAAGGACAAACCCGTTATATATATACACATATAATATATATATATACAAACACACACATACACACACACATATATATATATATATAGTAATTACGTCGAAGGAAACAATTGCATTATTGTTGTATTTGTATGTGTGTGTGTGTATTCCCACGCGCATCTTTTCCGCTTTGCTGTTCCGGTCACATACACACGCGCACTACCCGTCTCAGTTTTGGATTTTACGCGTCCGACTTTGGAGGAGCAGCCCCGCGTATAACGGTTGAACCGGCTATATATTGGACAGATATTTTTTTTCTCTTGTTAACGACCTCTTGTCGCGGTGTTCTTGCGAATGAACGCAGCTGTGATAAATCATTGTAATAATTATGATCAACAGTATGTATAAGCTAATTAAAAAGTTAATTTGTTCATAACTTTCTTAACTTGTAAGTTTATGATATAATAATTAACTTAATAACTAATCTAGTTAATGTTTTCTTGGTAACAAATAACAATGTTTATGATAAGCTTTTTTTATCGATTTTAAAAAATTAAACGTTAAGTTTAAACTATTTTAGTACAAGTTAAAATAAAATAAATAAAATGTAAACTTATTTAATATTACAATATTTTTAATAAAAATGCTATTTTATAATTAATGTAAATTTTAAATTATTTTCTTTTTTTTATTATTATTTATATACTCATAAATTCTTAGTAATTTTTTTTGTTTGGAAATAAATATTTAAAATGTTGTCTATTATCAGAATTCTTATCATATCGATTTTTGGTCATTTTTATAAAACACTAATTGCATGGCCTCGACGAACGGAAATGAAAGTGATGTGTGAGGCATCGGCGAAAAAGTCATAGCATATTATAAAAATAACCGGCTGTTGATGGTTTATGTCATTTTTTATAGAATGTTTTTTCTCACCGGAACCGGAAGTCCTTTGGCTTCCTCACGCATCGACACACGCCAGTAGGCTACCGTCCACCGGCAATATACGTCCTGTGTGTCTACTAGCTTCAACGCAGGATGACCGGACACCCCTCGTTCAGTGTATATATGTGGCATAGAGGCAGCGACAAACAGTGGCTGCGGAAACACCGTCGATACATCAATATGATAATAATAATATTTTTATCGTCAAAATAAAAATGGGTTTATCGATTTAGTGCATCTTGAGTCTTGACAATTTCTGTATAGCACAGAACCAGTATGACCACAAACTACGAATAAGGTCTAACTGCACTTACATTATTATAAATTTAATAATTTTATTTTATAAATTTGGAAATACTCGTACTAAAATAGTTTATTAAATTTATCATGTATTTATTAATTCTATATTTAAATGTATTAAATTGATCATACTTTATTTTTCTTCAAATAAAATAAACTTATTCTAATACGGTTGCAAATTGATATTATAGTATTTCGCTTGAACATATCTTTATTGGATTAAAATCGAAAAATTCAAACTGTCACACTACCTACGTACTGATAAATATTTTACTAAACCACAGATGTTTGGTTTGTTACAAAAAGTATTTACATTATGTTTTGAATATTTCAAATTAAATCATATTCCCGCATATTATGATAAGTGCTATAGCTATAGTAATCAAAAACTAATCCAGTTATATCATGGTGATTTATTTTGACTGCCTACAATTTACAACAATTTCATCGTAGGTCGAAGGAAAATTCTGGATTCACCATTCCAGGTAGTTGGCATGGGTTAAAGTTTAGGTGAGAATAAAGGGTGATTATATTATTCCCTCAACGCTAATAGTGTTTAAAAGTCGTCATCTTAAACTTATTTTCCAAAAATTACAGTGATATGTTGAGGTCTTGAATCAAAATAATTTCTCTTCTATTTAAAAAAGAAAATTTTAATTTTTTTATTTATCAATAAGTAAATATATATTTATTTTTTATTTTAGTTAACAATTTGATAATAATCAATTAATTATAATAACATTCCATAAAAAAATATTATCGTTTAAGTGTTGTTATGTTATGTAGATTAATTATGTTCTAAAATAATATAATTAATATTTCAATCAAACTAAATATATTGTTAATAGTTATTTATTAAAAAAAGTCTTAGCTTTCTTGAAAACTAAGAAAAATTTTTTTTTGAGAAAATTAATGAATAACATAGTATTCCTTATTTAATTAATTTTTGTACAGAATAACATTTCACACTGAAAGCTCAAAATAAAATAATAAACCTTTGCCATTTTTATAAATTTAAGTCCTAGTAAAATTCGATTTGAAATTGTTTCAGTAGCTTTTGAATTTCGAACACTATAACAATACGCCTACCGATCATCGTAATGCGAAGTATTCATTTTTGAATTCAGTCTCTGTGGAATTGGTTTGATTTAAAAAAAAATCATTATTTATAGGCATAAATATTACATTGTATAGTAGTAATGATATAATTTAATATTCGTTTAGTCGAGTACATAATCGAATTCTTGTAAATAATATTTAATAATTCACATAATTCACCAATAACTTGGAACAATAAGTATACAATTTTGTTATCATTATATTATCTCGAATGTTTTCTCTCCCCCCCCCCCCCACCATAATCTCATAATACGTCAGCTTAATCCCTAGATATACACTCGTCAGTAATATAACATTATTATTTATAGATGAATTTGAATTTATAATTCGATAAGAGAAATAAAAATATATCGTGTATACTGTATATATTTAAGAAGGTTGAGTATGAAACATTGTTCCGAAACAGTTGCTCATTATTTTTGATACAAATTAACAAGTTATTATTGATAAATAGACGAAATATGTAACAATGAAATAAGGGATACATTTGTATCATAATTGTTATAAATGTTTAGATTTTTCAATAAAAAAATAAATGAAAATTTATTTTTAGATGTAAAATAATATAGTAAATAAAATTTGTATGATTATAAATGTATTTAAAATTTTTTTTTTTTAAATTTAATGGATATAAAACATTATAATATATGAGTATGTTAGACGTATTGATTTTTGAAATTACTCATAGGTACAATACAACGGTGCACATAGTTGAGAAAATAATTGAAAACAAATACATTTATTTACACATTCAATGTGAGTTTTATAAAAAACCGGGTATACTTCTTAAGTTCTTTTTCTTTAAATACAATAATTTCCAACTATGATTTCATAATTATTAATACTGCTTTTGCCATTAATTTATTTTTTCTTAGAAACAAGGTATGAATGAGTATAACAATTTTAATTTCATATTACGAGTATGTAAATCAGAGAATACATATTTTATATATATATATATATATATGTACAATGTACATATTTAAACTGTAGGTAATATAAAAATATCGAGTAAATAACAAAAATTCTACTCTAACTTTTAAGCTTGTTTTCATTAGTTTTGGGTATTTTAAGTTTATACACACTAGCAGGGTAAATTTAATGTAAAGTTTATCACATATTTTCAATGTAATCCGGCTAAATTATAAGTAAACAAATATTAATACCAATACTCGAGTTAGTGATGATCTAAATATGAAGTTATTTTGTATACGATAATCTATGCAATAGTTGCATGTGTTTTGTGTTTAGCCATTTTATTATAAGTATATATTTAGCAACTCAAATTTTAAAAAGCCAAAAGTTTTCAACGCACGAAAATACGGTTTTGGTATTAGTTGGAAAATATAAAGCTCTTAAGTACAATTTATTATAAGGGATGTCCCAGTCGTTAAATTCCACAGAATTACAGAAATATTATTATGTTATTCTATGAACTTTATATAGAGTTGAGTAAAGTCAGTTGTGGTTCGAAGTTTTATTGCATAGACATTCGTATTGTTATGCCACACAATAGAACTTTTTTTTTCACTTTTTTCAAAAGTGAAAAATCTTTGGTCAAAATTTTAAAACTGTCTTGTAAAGCAGCAAGATTTCATAATAGGTAATATTAATTCCATAATGCGTAACACATGGATACTTTTAAAATAATTTATTAATTTTTTTATGGTTTAACTACAAGCTTATTTCAAATTAAAAATATTAAAATAATTTGATAACATCATATTACATTAAATTACATTTAAGTAATTCTAGTGGATAGAATTAAAGCTAAAATTCTGTTTCTAATTTTTAAAAGTAGTTTTATTATTTTCAATTTATAACTACTAGAGCTCTTAAGTTGTTAAAACCATAAATATTTTACATGCATATAGTTAAAATAGAAGCTTAAATGATTGAAATAATCTTGCTAATTTTTTACATTTAAAATATATATATAGTAAATATAACAATAGAACTAAATTTGGTTTTCAAACGAGATTTAAGATTTTAATTCTCAGCATGATATATTTTTATTTATTAATCATAAATTCACGGAAAAAGTCTTTGAATATACAGCACAATACTGAGGTATACAAAATTGAAAATAATATTAAAATAATGCTGTTTAAAATTTACAAAAAAATAAATAATTTTTTATCGAGATAATGATAACTCGACTTGTGTAATTTAGTCATGCTTATTGTTATTTGTTCGCCTATTATTAGTATATTATTGTACATCATGAAATCTTATAACAATAATTTAAAACCATACTGTTAGATTTTATCTTTAATAAACCATTAATGGCTATAATATTATGTAGATTATTATTATTATTCGAGTTCGTCCAAAGACACGTGATTTAAATATCTATAGGTATACAATTTTGGAGCCAGCACTGATCGAGATGGGAGCTCATATTTGGCTTAGTTCTTTTCTACCTACCAATTAAAAGACAGAGATCAAAAGCGTAAAATAAATTATGAAATTTTTATGAAAAAGTACAAAAATATAATTGTCATTATTTTATCACGTCATAACTATATAGCATGTACATAACTATAAACAAATACATTAAAATTGCATAAAAAATTAATTTCAATTGTAAAATAAAAGTATTTGTATTTTTTAAGCTTACACATATTCTTGTGAGTGCATTGTACTTAGAATTTATTTTTTTATTTTACTTGCAATATTGTGTATGTATTCCTAGGTTATTAATATTTTTTTTTTTTAATATTTCGAAAATAATTCTACTTAGGTACATCAATACGAATCGTTGCATCATATTTGAATTTACCTGAAATCATTGTGCCGTCACATTATACTTGGTGGCTTTGTGTTCTAGTTATGTATTAATATTATTATGGTTATACAGCGTAATTAAAGAGTAAAGACCCAAGTCAAAAACTATTTCGTTTGTATACCATTATTTACATTTGTAGTAACTAGTAAGACATTATTATATAATGGATTACTTTTACCTTGGAAGAGATGCACGGGCTAATGGTAAACATATCGCCAAACATCAAAGGTTCTCCTTTTTCGCAGTTGCTTCCAATTCTAAAACAAATGGATTACACCGCTAGACTAAGGTTTTAGATGTAAAATAATTATTGTTTTTCATCCAGAGATCAAACGCTAAGAAGATTACACGTGGAAACAAACTACCTACTACGTTGGTGATGATGATAATAATAATTGTATTACGTCAATATTCTTTTTTTATAATAAACTACGAATATTAATCTAAATATTTGAAAAGTAAATAATATGAACTATAGTTGAATTTCAGGTAATACTTGCTCATATATTTTATATTTAAGATTTTTCGATCTACTACGAGAACTTTCCAACCAAAATCCATACATATTATTCACTTATTCATAGAAAATGGCCAGATTATAATTGAGTTAAATATTACTTTATTAGAATTTTTTTTTGTTTCGAAAAATAACTGGGAGATAACGCTTTACATTATATTTTGTTGTAACGACTCAGTGGATTTTTTTGGTAGATCGTAACACCTTTCGAATTTATTAGTTTTATGTTATACCTATATATTCTAATGCAATGGGTAGACCATTGTAGAAAACGAAAAAAAAGTACTTTGTATTCTATTTCACCACCCTACCGTATCGTCATCGTAGCCAGTTATTCGCTTATTACATAGAAAAATGTTTTGACCAAAAATATATAAGGACTCTAGTAAAGTAGATTTAATAAGTGTATATTTTACCGTGTTCCAGTGTTGTATTTTATATATATGATTAATCAATTATTTGATTATAAATCGTGAAAGAGATAATTTTTTTTAAAAAATTTGATGTATTATTTAAATATTATTATATATAATACTGTTAATTTATTTATATGTACGAGTATATATTAAGCATAATAGTCTTTAAATTAGCTTCTGAGTCATTAAACTTTAATGAATTGAAAATTTTTATTTAAAATAAAAATTTATTAAAACTCAACGATTTCTACGATTTCTATCTTTTTAAATATCTCAGAAAATATATTCGTTCGAATTTTGATTTAAATTCGTTAAAATATAAAATAGAATTCTATAAAGGAAAATGATAAAAAATCCTTGAATAAAACAGCTGTATGTACATTTTATTATTTTAAAATGTTGCTATAATCTTGTTTTATATTTTAAAGTTTCAAAAAACAGGATTCGAATAAAATATATGCATTGTTGAATAATTATAAAACCTACTATATATAATGACAATACACGGTAATATACGTATTAATGAATTTCCATTCGATAGAAATCAATGTTTTTTCAGTTAATTATGTCATTGTTTAAATTTAAAATCTACAGTATATACAGTCAGTTCGATATAATATCATCGTTTATGAATAAATAATTAAATAATGTACGTGTTATCTGTTCGTTGTGATTTAAAATAATCATTAATCAGTAACCACTCACATAAATTGTTAAGCGTTATTTCTTTTTCAAAATCTAAGGTGATCGAAAGCCATTAGAATGGCAAAACGAATTACAAATAAATAAATTTTCCTCATCAGGTTTTTACGGAGATTTTTTCAAAACACACAAAAAAAAAAAAAAAAAACGTTGGTACTTCTATATAACCTCTACTACTATATAGTCTACAATATTAAAGTTATAGATTTTAGTTACCCACAAATCTTGAAGCAGTTTCTAACGCAACTCTCGGTTAACGGAGAAGCGGTGATGGTGCAGCCGGGTCCCATTCCGTCCAGTTCTGAGTGGTAGTCACTAGTCGAACACGAGAGGGCCACGCCGCCGGCGCCGTCATTCCAGCCTGGAAAACGGATGTCCGAGCATACGAGCTGTGCGTCTTCTCCGTACCTCAAAAATTCAGAGGTGGAGTTCAAGACCACCTGTAGTATGAATTAGAAATAAACTCATTAAGAAATAGGATAATTTTAATTATAATAGTTATCAGAGCTTTGTACCTGAATCATTTTTTCGGTTTTCCAACACCGAAATAAAATATTAAAAAAAGTTTGGGTATTTATAACCGTTATTTTAACCCGTCTAGTTCATCTCGCTCACTAACAGGGGTCCGAAAACTATATTAATGTGAGTTACTTTATAGTTAGTACGAATGCAGTAAAAGTAGTTCAAGAAAAACTTGATTTTAAAACTAAGTAATTTTTTATACTTTACAATAACTGTAAGAATACCTGTATTATTCAATTTCATAAAATATTATTGGATATTATTGGTAGACCACATGGGTATCACAGAATTAATGGATTCAACAATGCAAAATGTATATCGATGACCGATGGCTGATTTGATATTTTTCCCCTATTCCAATAATGATATTTTAATCGTATAAAAATTAGTGAGGATGGTATCGTTGTAAAATAATACGTAAGTCGTCTTATAAAATCGATCTAAATTTCATATTTCAATGGCGTTGGTTTATTGTTAAACAAATATTTAGTAGGGCCTGAAAATGTCGATCGTTGGAACTTGCGATTTATTTGTGCGTTTTTATAATAAAATATATAGGTATATTATAAGCTAATTATTGATCCTACACAACGTTGTTCATCAAAACACTGTGGATCTAACTAAATGTATTGACGACAAGTTTATGAAAATCGGCCGAAAACTGTGGAATCATAAAGATCATCTTAGACCTTTGATAGTTTTATTTTATATTGTGAGATATAATAATATATTAGATATACATATTTATAGTAGTATATTTAAATGTACGGCGTTGTCTGTGACAAATTAAATAATGAAAGTGAGATTTACATGCATAGAGTACCTATATTAAAATGCAAAATTAAAAAACTGACTTTGAAGTGCACATCTCCGAGTATAGTATTACCCAAGTACCAAATTTGATAGCCATGGGTGCGATAGACTTGGCTGTGTATCGTGTATACAAATATTGCTTTTTATTAATACATAATATAGCCGTAAAAATATGTTCACCTTTCACAGCATTCGGTAAACTGAGATTTTTTCACATAGTATCATTATTATTATTTATTTATTATACCGTGCATGCGAACATTAAATTTAATATATATTTTTATTTTTTTTTTATTCGAAACGACATCGTCAGAGTTTCTCGTATCTAGAGGTTGGATTACCGCAGTGGTTTCGGACAAGTCTGGTCAGATAATATATTTATTTTTTTATTGCGTGCAACCTTACCTCGCCTAATCTAACGTGATTTCATAGCTTAACGATACTAGCGGCAGTCTGTTTAAATGCACTTGGAGTGACTGAAGCCGTAAAAATATGTTTGGTCGGTCACGGGTCATCAATGTCGCATCGTATGTTATCGGTCTGGGACAAAGCAACGGAACGAGTTTGTGATTCAAATCAAACAAGTGGTTACCTATTAAAGTTACTGCTGTGACTTGCTTATATTTATATTACACACAAATGTGATAATTATACTATTATAATATGTCAGATGTTATTTTTATTATAAACGAACAATCATGCGATTGATGTTAAATCATATATTTTTAAATGTGAATAATTATAATATCATGATGTTATTGTGTAGCTAGTTTAGAAAATAAATAGATCAAAATCGACGTGTAGAATAATAACTCTAAATGTTTATCGACATTTTAAACGAATTAAACATGAGTATAGAAATGTGCATTGATAAGACGTCCTACAGTTTAAAATTTGAAATATTTTGCGAACCATTTGGGTCTTGTAGAGGCAATAAATAAATTGTTCTTATTGATTATTATTCGCTATCGCAATAATGCGCATTCCTCGAACTGCGACCGGTTTTAGACTTCTCTTTCGCAGAAAATTGTTATTTAGTATTAAAAATAAAATAAACAAAAAAACAAATAAATAAATTACTAGTTATAGAGTATACTCATATTATTATAATCAATAAAATCTTTAAAAATTGGATATTGAGTTTGAATAGTATTTCAGAGATCTTATACTTCGAAGTAGTTTTATTTGTAAGGGAGTACAATTAAACAATATTATACTTACACATCGATACCGACGAATGTTGCTAGAGAAACATCGATGAGCGCAGTTTTTACTAAATGCGATCGAACTTTAATCGTTTATAACACCAAAACGTTCAAGCATGGCGTCTGTATTGTTGTATTAGGTGATACAATTATCAAATAAGTACAGTATGGTATAATAATTATATTAAGACACTGATAGCTTTTAAAAAAAAATTGAATATTTATATAAATTTGATATTAATTATTTTGATATAGTTCGATTATTTATTAACCCGTATTTGGATAAAGTATAAAACCTGAGATAAAATCACATCGATCGTGTTTGAATGACAGACGAATTGAACATAAAAAAAATCAGAATTTATTTTATAGGAAACGCATCGAGTTGTCAAATCAAATATTTGAACGCTATCTAGTGAAATGAACAGAGCAAGTTGAATCGGCTACGCTATCGGGCGTTAGATGGCGTCAAGAAATAGATTAAAAACAATAGTTTTATTTTATCCAATATAACTTTGGTTTATTCAACAATGCAAAAATACTTTGACGTTAATTTTGTACTAAACTACTACAAAAATAAAACACAATGGCGTTATTAGGTATTTTAATGATTTTACGAAACACAAAAATATGCTAAATGAGTAAGTAATAAAATTAAGTAGGTACTCGTAAAAGAAGTTTCTAATGGGATTATTTATGAGTGCTTGCGAATTAAAAATAAAATTGTGAATCAACTCTATGCGTGCTTAACGTGATTTCTGTAAAAATAATATTAAACTTTCGTTTAGATGTTTAAATATAGTAAAAAACTCTGAATTATAATATTGTATTTACTGAACAAATTTATTACAACCTTTGAACGTTATTCGGTGTTCACAAGTTTAAACATGATCTCTAGACATATTTTATAAAATAATGTATATACCTAGTTTTTATTATTTTCATTATTGAAATAATAAAGACCAATTATTTAAAGGGTTAAGGTAAAATTAATAATGTATTACAACGAGTAATGATAATAATTATAAAAGTACTTAATATGAAAAAAATAATAACAAACTGTGAAATATTTATTATATTGTTTATGCAATACCTACGTAAAATTAATGTATAAGGAGCATATTGGATGGAATTTTTAAGAAATGAAAGAGAGGGGGGTTTAATTAATTTTCTGGTATTATTTGAAGGGAAAAACGATTATTTGCCCCTCTTATAAAATAAGACTTGAAGTGGCAAAAGATTGATAAATGATTTATGAAAATACCTTTATTCGAATGCAATTTTTTTTTTTTTGTCAATACCAGTTTATTAAATTTGTATTTGTTTTTCTGAAATATTTATTTTTTGCTCACCCTACTATGTTTGCAAAATGCCGTCTACGATAAAAAAAAAAGTGTGAAAGAGGAGTCAATTAACGTGATTAGACTTGAAATAAATTAAAATATTATTGGAATAAAAAACAACCGAGACATACAGTGGTTGGTTTGAAAAGACTAGCAAGGAAAGAACGAAGGGTTAAGAATGGACGCCATAGAGTATTTTTATTTGGAGTGTGATGTTTTAATCGATTTATTTTATGATACTTGAAGGTAGCTTTGTTTATCGTTGAACATCATTTTATTAATACTTAATAATTTGATCGATATTTATTTGAAATTAACTTTTAAGTTTTACAATAAAATGCTTTTGACTCAGGAATACCAACTACTGAGTGAACTATCATACGTTATACTACTTGGCACCAGCACACATACCGTATGCTCTACACTGCTCTTTCCCTTTTAGTTATAGGGAGTAGGGACATACACTCTTAGTGAATACTAATAGGTGTTTATAACACTTTGTAATTAGAAGTGTGGCCATTTTAAAATAGGAGTACTTAGCAGAATGTAATTTGAAAGTATACCTATACTTAAGAAATCCAAATATTTGACATGTTCGTATAATCAGACAAAACACTCACACAAAATGTGACTTTTTTTCCAAGCTCATTGCGGTATTTATATATTAAACAAAAATATCATATGAAACGATGAATTCTTCAAGTTTAAAATGTAAGGGAAAATATTGAAACGAATAAATTATGGTTTCAACAACAATACATTATTACAATAAGTATGAAATTCTTATTATATTTAATATTTAGTTTTTGAACGAGGTACACAACGTGTGACGATACAAAATATAACATAAACAGCCTCGACATAATATATGTTGTATTATATTATGTTCTGCAATTTACTTATACGGTCGCGAATTGTTGTGAACACAGCGCATGTAAAATATAAATTATATATTAATATACAGCACATATGTATTAGACTTACCGGTCGCAAAAGACTTGAGTACATTCTCTGCGATTTCTGTACTAGTAATTCTCCTCGGTCTCTTTTTGACAAGAACGACTTTATTTTTTCCTAAATGTACGTATAATAATCGACATATTACACAATTATATTAATATAAAATGCAATATTATAATAATGATAACAATATAAACAATAAACCATTGCGTAGAATTTTGTGTGGATTTAAAAATATGGATTTTTAGTGTACTTTCGAAGTACATTACACCGAATTTAAAATATTTTAATGTGATTTTAATAAAAAAAAATAATATACCCATAACAAACTTGTGCGAAAATCGACTTTTCAATCCTCGAGAGTCACGTCACAGGGTTATTGTATTATAGGGTTGATAAATTTATGAACCGACTTTATAGGTATTATTTTTACACTTTCGGACGTTTTCATCCGAGAGAGGGAGTATTACGTGTTGTTATATATATATATATATATTATAATGTATAGGTAGCTGCCGAAATCGATAATTTTACACACGACTCACGGACTGTAAATGAGTCTCTTCCACCCAATTGCCTATCCGAACGTTAACGCTGTACTGTTGCGTGCCGCGGTTCATGATGATAGCTCGGTGGAATAATGTTATTTTATTTTATACTATAGATAAAATATTACATTAGCTCGATAAAAACGAGTGATTTTATGTATAATATCCTCACTTAATAGCTGTGGACTAATACCGTAACACTAATACAATTCTTGGATATCGTCACAACTGCAGACGTTAATATTAAAATATATTTGTAAATATTATGTTGCGTAGACGACAAGCTGGTTATTTGTACGATTGACTATAATTGCTTTAACTGCCACAACTCTATTTAAACCAAATGGGCCAATATGTGAATAACTGCAGAGACGACAATTTCAGGTTTCACGTGATCTGTTGAAACTTTTTGATTTGATCTTTTAAACTTTTATTTTATTTTGTTGTTATATTTGAAATGCGAAAATTATTGTTTACATGCTTACACATAATAATTGTTAATAGTATTAATGTTATTAAATTAATAACATTATTTAACAAAACTATTAGAAACATAGCTTAAAACGTATACTATATCAAGCGTACAGTTTTGATCTACATAATAAAGTGACTATTATTGTATACATCTCAAAATAAACTATTATTTATAAATTTAATTAAAATTTAGCATGAAAGCATATAGCAGTAAATTATAAAATCACCCACGAGTATATATAATCTATATCTATTAACATAGAAATAAATAACTTATATAGTTATATTACAGTTTATAAGTATTTGATAATTTTAAGTAAATATTGTACAAATAGTTGACACCAAAGCTCACGAATCATAGTACTGATCAATTAACATATGTTATAGGATTCCGTATTTAGTGCTGTTATGCAGGATTGATTAGAGAAAATGTCTGTCGTATACCATATGAATAAACTTGTAGAGGGATGCAGGTAAAAGTTTATAACATTTCATATTATAATTAAATTATTTTAAGTTAGGTGAATTAGGACGTTGTTAAATATGCTTGAATTTTGTTCTGTAAAAAAAGTTTTTAAATTAAAGCACATTTTTTTCTTTACAAAAATATGGTTCAAACACTTCAAACTAAATAAATTAAAAAGCTCTCATGACAGCATCTATATGCTATATAGGTAAAGGTTATTGCTATATTCCTCTAGAATTACTATATAATATATAATTAATTTTTTGAAGACAATTTTAAAATAATAGTAAATTTTAAAAATTAACTTAATAATGAATTTTCTGAGTTGTAGTAAGTATATCAATGTTCCCGGCCATTTAAATTATTTACGCTCTTTAATAATATTAATAACAACATAACTACATAAGCATATTTTATTTTTGATTTTTTTGCTTTTTTTTTGCTACGTTCTGGACTAGGTCAGTCTTGTTAAGTCCTATCTAAAGCTTTGTTGCTTTAAAATATTTTTAATATGAGTGACTTTTAAAGTTAGTTAGTTAGGTTTTATCCCTTTTTAATAAATGAACAGTCATTAATAACTAGGTATGCAATTAATGTATTATCTATACTTAAAAATAATTAAAGACAAAATAATTTTTAACTCATTTTTATTTTCCCAAAGAAAATTATATAAATTAAATACTTCACTGAATATGTTAGATCAGGAACTATCATAAATAAATAAAACACTAAGAAATTAATGATATTTAAATTATTAAAAAAAAAAAAAAAAAACTAAGAATTATATTAACTTACAGTATTAAATGAATAATTTTACTTACTGAACATATCAGTATTTACTATATTTTATACTGAGTATAGTAAATATAATAAATTCACGCACGACTCATTGGTATCAGTGAATTCCACGAGAGCGCACTTTAAATATTGTTTTTGACATCAAATACGTTCGACTTAAGGCAATTTTATCTCAATTATATTATATTTAATTAAAATACATAACATTAGCCTATGTCGTTAAAATAATACATTATACTACCTTTTTTTTTTAAGTTTAAAAACTTAAAACAATATATTTTCTGCGTTATGTTGTTTGAGAATTTTTTCTGATGTGAATGATGATCAATTTTAAGGGGTGTTTTACTAGGGTCATAATTGGATGGTCTGAGTTCAATATAAGTGGGTAGGATACAACTATACAACTGTTCTATTCAAGATGACTATAGCTGCTTTTTCCTAGTCCAGTTATTTAAACACACAAGTACTACAGATAACATACGCATAACCAGTATTTTATATTTAGTATAGTGATACTCTGAGTAAGTGTGTAATACGAAGGAAAAATTGAAACACTTGGACACGTTACATCGTATATTATTGTTGTCTCATGTCTTGTGGATATTAACGATGGAAATTACATAATATTTTCCAGGAAAAAAATAGTTCAAAAATAGTGTAAATTGTAATAGTATTAACATAAATATCGGCAATAATAAGGTTTAATTCACAAAGTTTTATTTTTTTTTTTCAGAATTTTTTAAAGCAGTTATTTAAACATGTTGTTTTATGGGAAATTTTGAATATTGAAGAGACATTTGAAATCATTTAAATTTTTAGAAACAATTAGAAAATATTGACAAAAAACAGGACCACAATTACCTATACACGAATAATTGTAAAATGTGCTTTGGGTTTCATCTTATATTGTAAGTTTTTATACAGAATAGTGATTAGAGCCATTAGAGTTATACAGGTATGTCATTATTGTTAATTGAAAATCATCCGTATCAATGCGTTTTATTACATTTAAAAATAGATTTTTACATTATTTAGTATTTACACAACAATTTTTGGTATAGGTAGTAACAAAATAAATAATAAAGATTTTGATCGAATTTATAATGGAATTACCTACTATTTACTAAATAATAGGCATATTAATTATTATTATGTAGTCTTATGCCAAGACGAACAACGTAGTTATTAATATTTCATAATATATTTATTGTAAATAATTTTAACCGTTCATAATAGAGTATTGTTAAAAATTTAATTGGAAACTCTTTAATTAGATTTCTGCCTAAGCCGTTCTTTTAGATTACACAACAATAAAAATAAAAATGTATAAGGTAAAATTAATAGGTTACTAATGATAATATTAACTGCAAGACAATAAAACCAACGAGCTTATAAAATCACAATGTGTAAGAATGAAAATGTAAAATTGTTCTCTCAAATAATTACCAAAGTACAGCTTGTGAGTTTTTAATTCTAATTAATCATTTACAAAAAAAAGTTATTTTATTTTACAGTATAATGGAGTATGTATTAATTCATTTTATTTTTATTCCAGACTAATATATTACACGTGGGTCCCGCTGACGAGCGTCGAATTCGAAATTAAATTAAATCGTTCCGCAGACGATTTGAGTTTGAAGCTCACTCGTACACGAACTTTCCGAGGGATATTTTCGATTCATCATCGTTTGACGGATTTTTTTCCTCTCCATTTTTTTTTCTTTCTTTCTCTCCCGTTTGGTGATTACAAATTTTTAATTAAATTCCCTTCTCGTATTACCGACGCGCCATTTTGGCCGTTTCTTAGATTCATGCACATTCTTAAACATTGAATTTCGTAAACGTTTCTGTATACACATTAAATATTATATACTGCAGCGCGTTTTCATTTAATTGTTACGATTCTTGCTTTTCTAAACACATTTGGTGGTTCGTATAATTTAAAAACCGTTTTAATCTTAAAACATTTCATACCTTAAGAGTTTTTCACATTTTTAAAGATGGTATCTGTAGCCCAGCTCACATTGCTTACATTTTTTTCACTCGATCATGTTGCTGACGTACGTGTCTATGTACGGTGAATTTACCAGACTTTGTTTCCCTACCCAAAAACACACACATCAAAACGTGGTTTTTCTGAAGTGAAAGGGAATACATTATAATATTATAACGATGACAGAGCTTAAACGTAGCAGAGAATCGCACGTGCTTATTTTATTGGAAATATGAAAACGTATCTATTACACTATTACAGTGTAAAAATAGTCAATTACTATTTCTGCTCTTGTAAGATAATATGTTTCAATATACATATATTATACCTATATAAAAAATATTAAAATTAAAATGAATGAAATAAATGATAAGATACAAATAAATAAAAATAATTTAGTTAATATATAAATAGTATAAACGTAAATAATCGTGAACTATATTATACATACGATCAACACTGAAATAATAATGTTATATTCAATTCTAAGTAAGCTACGGAGCGATGAACCTATTGATTTTACAATTATGTGTGATTTTATATTTTTTTTGTGTCTGGTGACACTTTTCTATTAGAAAAAAGAAAAATTAGATTTTTAACTTTGGTGGATGATTTTGATATCAAATTGGATAAAGTTATTTTTTTTTTTTAGGAGGAGGAGGAGGAGGTTAAAATTAATAATATCTTATAGTATTTTTCAATATTTTCTAGAAAAAACAAAAGATAAATTACAAATAATAAATAATACGAAAAACCGTATAAACTTGTACTTGACATTTTCATCAAATGTTTATTTTAAAATCTTTACGTAATTACATTTTATACATATGTCTACTCTTTTTGAGGTTTAATATAAAGGTATTTGACATTTTTGATTTTTTTTTTAAATGTCTTGAATAATTTGACGTTGTACTCATTAAATTTAAATTTAACACATCTAATGAAACAACCTAATTTTTAATAAAATGCATATACGACGTATACTATACATAAGATTGGTTATATTGTCCGAGTCCGTTTTCTTTTTTTTTTTTAGTATTTATACTATCATACCATTGAACTGTTGCAGACGACTGGATCAGACTATAATATTATTACATGACAATTATGAAAGGCAGTAGTACTGTATAAAAACTTCACAGAAAATGTATGTTATCGACTGCAAGCCGCGAGGACGAACGCGAATTGTCTGTTACTATTACTATATTTTATTTATAGTCTGTAATATTTATATTAATAATATGTACATTTCCGTCATTCAATCGTACGTACAAATATTAAATAATAATATATGATAACAATTATTGTATTTTCGTAGTACACAAATATCGACCAACGACC